TAAGATTCAGTATTACCAGTTTATTTCCCTGCGAAGAGATTTCCTAGCCTTTCTCTTAGGGAGATCTAACCGTTCTTTCGGAAAGGAGAAATCACGTGGATACCAAAGGTCAAGGATTATCACCGCTAGGCTGGGAGATCTGTAAGTTCTAACTCAGATCTGTTGTTATTATCATATTCATTATTTTGTCATAATCAGGGAAGATCTGTTTGGGAAAATTTTAAACTTCCGCTGCCGTACTTTCGAGGTACGTTACATAAATCTCCTAACAGTTGCTTCATCAAGGATTAAAACATCTGGATCTCGAAGAAGAGCCCTAGCGATTGCTATTCTTTGCTTTTGTCCTCCACTTAGTGATAGCACAAGGGGTGTAGAGTATTTTAATAAAGTGTATGTGAGGAGGGGAATGAAGGGACGGGAGTTTATGTGAGGAGGGGAATGAAGGGACGGGAGTTTATGTGAGGAGGGGAATGAGGGGGCAGGAGTAATTAATGTGCTGGTTTGATTTCTGAATATAAGGAAGGGAGGGGAATAGGGGAGGGCAGGCTGTTATTCAGTTAGAAATGGCTGGGCTTTGGCTAGAGAGAAACTCCTTGTTCCTTCTCTAGATTTGGTTGCTATTCTCTTTATCTTCCCTGTAATCATTCTGGAGTTTTGAGAATTCCTCAATCTCCATTGCTAATAATACGGAAACTGTTTGCTGATATTAGAGTCTAACATTGGTATCAGAGCGGTCCGTTCCTGCGGACTGTGAATGAGATTGACGCGTTCAAAAATGGAACATCGAGTTGAGAATCTCGAACAAAGTGTAAACCACATCGAGCAGAAACTGGAACGCAATTGTACAGAGGTGCGCACGATCTCCGACAAGTTGGATGGAGTGATGGCCGAACTGTGCCTTATCGCGACCAACCAGAGTCATCGACGATCCAAGGGGAGGTCGCGTATGACTAAGCGAACGGGTACACGTACTCGGACAAGGGAATCGCACTCTGGAGGTAATTCTCACAGTGCGTCAGTTTCGTCTCACGAACCAGGTGATACGCGTGTCAATCGCAGATTTGAGAGGACGGGAAGGAAGGTAGATCTGCCTCTTTTCAACGGAGTTGATGTTCATGGTTGGATTATTAGAGTGGAACGCTTCTTCAAGTTGAACCAGGTGCACGATCAGGAAAAAGTGGAGCTGGTTGTCCTGGCCATGGAGGAAAAAGCCCTGAACTGGTTCCAGTGGTGGGAAAAACAAAATGAGGAGAAATCTTGGAAGGAATTTAAAGGAGCACTAATACGGAGATTTCAACCAGAACTGCTGCAGAATCCTTATGGACCGATGCTAAGCATTAAACAAACTGGATCGGTAATGGAATATAGAGAACGTTTTGAACTTGTGGTAGGTCCAATGAAGCATATTGATGAGGAAATACTCAAAGGAATTTACCTTAATGGCCTGAATGAAGAGGTGAAGGCTGAACTCAAATTGTACCCAAATGCTACTCTGCCTGAACTGATGGATATCTCGCTGGTGTTAGAAGGGAAGAATGCTGCATTTTGAGGGGAAAAATACAAGGAGGGGGACCAGAGGAGTGGAAAGGAGAAAGGAGAGGCACTGAAGAAACCACAACAGTGGATAGATGGCAGCAAATGGAGATCCCAAACCAATATTCAAGCGTCTGAGGAAAAATCGGGAGTTGAGCCTAAGGTGGGAGTTAAACCGGATCTCAATAATAACTGGAAGGGTGGCCAGAGGCTAACACAAGCAGAATTACAAGACAGAAGCAAGAAGGGGCTATGTTTCAAATGCGGGGAAAGATGGGGCAAGGATCATGTGTGCAAAATGAAATACTACCAGTTTATTCTCACAGAGGGGCCTGAGGAAGAAGCAGATACTATGGATTCAGAAGTGAATTTGAAAGAGACAGATATCTCCCTAGAACCGCAACAAATGCAACTGTCAGCCATGAGCAAACAAGGGATCACTACACAGAAGACTTTCAAGTTGGAAGGGAAATTGATGGAAAGGGGGTTACACAGATCTGTGTTGATCCTGATTGACAGTGGAGCCACCCATAATTTCATATCACAAGCCATAGTGGAGGAATTACAATTGCCATACATCCAAATTGATGGATTTCAGGTGGAATTGGGTAATGGGGACAGAGTGAGCAACAATAGGAGGTGTGTGGGATTGCAGGTTGGGGTGCAAGGCCTTAATATTACACAAAACTTCTACCTGTTGGAGCTGGGAGGGACAGATTTAGTGTTTGGGGTTGAATGGCTTGCCAGTTGGGGGAATGTAGAGATCAATTTCCAGGATCTCACACTTCAGTGGTGGGAAGACGGGAAAATAAAGAGCCTAAAAGGGGATCCAACTTTAAATCAAGTGCAAGTTTCCTGGAAAGCACTTGTAAAGGCTATTAAAAATGAAGGCCAAGGTTTTTTTGTGACCTGTGGGAATCTTCAGGGTGAATCTGTTAATGGGGCTGCACCAGGAGGATTTTGGCAGGACGTGTTGGACAAGCATAAAGAGGTTTTTCAAATGCCAGCAGGGTTACCCCCTAAAAGAAGTTGTGATCATGCTATCAACATTAGGGAAGGAGCTGAAATACCTAACATACGACCCTACAGGTACCCTCACTACCAGAAAGACGAGATAGAGAAAATTGTGAAGGAGTTGCTAAATACAGGGATTATCCAGCCCAGTACCAGCCCGTATAGTAGTCCTGTGCTCTTGGTTAAAAAGAATGATGGTAGTTGGAGGTTCTGTGGAGATTACAGAGCCCTAAACAGGATCACAGTGCCTGACAAGTACCCCATTCCCATAATTGAAGAGTTACTGGATGAATTGGGAGGAGCCACGGTATTCTTTAAGCTTGATCTGAAATCGGGCTACCACCAGATCAGAATGAAAGAAGAGGATAGACACAAGACTGCTTTTCGAACGCATGAAGGACATTACGAGTACCTGGTAATGCCTTTTGGATTAACAAATGCACCTTCCACTTTTCAAGCTTTGATGAATCAGATTTTAAGGAAGTATTTGAGGAAGTTTGTTTTAGTATTTTTTGATGACATACTTATCTACAGTCCTTCAGAAAGTGAACACAAAGAACACTTGAGTACCATCCTACAGTTACTCAAGGACAACCAGTTGTATGCTAATCCTAAAAAGTGTATAATAGGGCAGAAACAACTGACCTACTTGGGTCATATAATTTCCGGGGAAGGAGTAGCTGCTGACCCGGGGAAGGTTAGGGACATGTTGGACTGGCCCGAACCTAAAGAAGTCAAAGGATTGAGGGGATTTCTGGGCCTAACAGGTTACTACCGGAGGTTTGTAAAAGGGTATAGTAAGATTGCAGCGCCCCTAACAAACCTATTAAAGAAAGATGCATTTAAATGGAACCCCAAGGCTTCTCACGCCTTTGAACACTTAAAGAAAGCTATGACAACTCTACCTGTTCTCAGGGTTCCAGATTTTACAAAGACTTTTGTGGTTGAGGCAGATGCTTCCGGGACAGGTGTAAGAGCAGTTTTAATGCAGGAGGGGAGACCTGTGGCTTATATGAGTAAGATTTTATCTAAGAGGAACCAGAATAAATCGTTGTACGAAAGAGAATTGATGGCAATCGTACTGGCTATACAAAAATGGAGACCCTATTTATTAGGCAGGGTCTTCGAGGTGCACACGGATCAGAAAAGCCTACGGTTTCTAACAGAACAGAGAATAATGGGGGAAGAACAACAAAAGTGGGTTGCCAAGCTTTTGGGATACAATTTTGTGATTAAGTACAAACCCGGCAGTGAGAATAAGGCAGCAGATGCCCTCTCCAGGAAGGGTAGTATACACAGTTTGTCCGTTGTTACCTGTCAAGAGTGGGAAGGGCTAGATGAGGAATTGAAGGCAGATCAGAGATATCAGAATATCATACAAAGAGTGATAGGAAATCCAGCTAGTATACCAGATTTCAAGTTCAGAAATGGCTTATTGTATTATCAAGGAAGATTGGTACTACCTAAGCAATCTCCTAGAATACCTCTAATTTTGAAAGAATTCCATGATTCTGCAATTGGAGGGCATGCCGGGGCCTTCAGAACTATGAAGAGAGTATCTGGTTTATTCTATTGGGTTGGCATGAGAAGGGACATACAAGAATATGTGCAAGGATGTGAAGTATGCCAAAGAAACAAGTATCAGACCCTCAGTCCAGCAGGATTATTGGAACCTTTGCCCATCCCTGACAGAATATGGGCAGATATCAGCATGGATTTTATTGGAGGGTTGCCCAAGGCTCAAGGGAAGGATACAATTTTGGTGATAGTGGACAGGCTAACCAAATATGCCCACTTTATAGCCCTTGTACATCCTTACACAACCAAGGAGGTGGCAGAAGTCTTCGTTCAGGAGGTGGTACGATTACATGGATTCCCTAAATCCATAGTATCTGACATGGATAGGGTCTTCTTGAGTTCTTTTTGATCAGAATTGTTCAGGATGGCAGGCACCAAACTGAAGTACTCCACAGCTTACCATCCTCAAACTGACGGACAAATGGAGGTGGTGAACAGGTGCTTAGAAACCTACTTGAGATGTATCACTGGATTGAAGCCTAAACAGTGGCCTAAATGGCTCTCATGGGCCGAATATTGGTACAATACCAATTATCACATATCTATCAAGAATACCCCCTACAAGGCCTTATATGGACAAGATCCTCCCGCTATTGTGAGGGGAGATGTAACTGTGACATCAGTAGAAGAAGTCAACAAGTTGACGGCTGAGAGGAATTTAATGCTAGAAGAATTGAAGAGCAGTTTAGCTATTGCCCAAAACAGGATGAAGCAGCAAGCTGACAAACATAGACGGCCCTTACAAGTGGAGGTGGGAGACAAGGTATTCTTAAAAATTCAGCCTTATAAAATGAAAAGTCTAGCTAAAAGGATGAATCAGAAGTTAAGCCCAAGATTCTATGGGCCTTTTGAAGTGATAGAAAAAATAAATCCCGTGGCATTCAAACTGAAACTACCCGAGGGTTGCACAGTGCATCCAGTGTTCCATATCTCTTTGCTGAAGAAGGCAGTATCTCCTAACCTTCCCTGCCAGCCCCTACCTACCTGCATCTCAGAAGAGTGGGAGTTACAAGTGCAGCCTGAAGAGGTGGTGGATTACAGAGTAAATCCTAATGGGGAGAAGGAAGTGCTAATTCATTGGAAGCAGCTGCCAGCTTTTGAGGATTCTTGGGAAGATTTAAACAAGTTTCAGAAGTAGTTCCCAACATTCCACCTTGGGGACAAGGTGGTAGTTCAAGGGGAGGGTAATGATAGCACAAGGGGTGTAGAGTATTTTAATAAAGTGTATGTGAGGAGGGGAATGAAGGGACGGGAGTTTATGTGAGGAGGGGAATGAAGGGATGGGAGTTTATGTGAGGAGGGGAATGAGGGGGCAGGAGTAATTAATGTGCTGGTTTGATTTCTGAATATAAGGAAGGGAGGGGAATAGGGGAGGGCAGGCTGGTATTCAGTTAGAAATGGCTGGGCTTTGGCTAGAGAGAAACTCCTTGTTCCTTCTCTAGATTTGGTTGTTATTCTCTTTATCTTCCCTGTAATCATTCTGGAGTATTGAGAATTCCTCAATCTCCATTGCTAATAATACGGAAACTGTTTGCTGATATTAGAGTCTAACACTTAGCAACTCATCATCAACAAGAGTTCGGTAGCCATTGGGCAAAGCCAAAATGAAATCATGAGCAGAGGCCTGCTTGGCTGCCCATTCCACATCTTCCTGGCTAATATTCCGTGTGCATCCATATCTTATGTTTGAGCTGATATCTGTGTGGAAAAGCCGAGGTTCCTGTTGAAAAAATCCTCAGTGAAAATATGTTGGGTGGGAACCTGCCCGACATAGCCAATTCTCTCTCTCAACCATTTAATGTCCAGATCTTTAACAGGGTATCCATCGATCCGTACCTATTTGCAATACATGAGGTAAAAAAAATCAGGAAAATTGGTATTTTGCTAAATATGTGAAGATATGGCCATATGTGTGAAAAAGCTCCAAATTTATCAAAATAAGCAAAGCTTTCATGCCATGTGCCAAAAAAGAGTCAGAGACAAGTCACATATGGTGAATTTCAAATAAACCAACAAAGAAATCATAAAAAATAAGTACGATTAAAATGATTCATGACAGTTGTACATCAGCAAAATTTTAAAAATGGTCAAACTTCAATCTTTTTACGGGATGGAGGTAGTACTGAAGTTTACCTGGCCACTTGTTGGTTCATAAAGGCGGAGGAGGAGGCTCACCAAAGTGCTTTTACCACTACCACTAAGACCCACCTGTCAAAAATTAAAGTTAGCTAATCAAAAGTGTGGATTTTTTTCAATTAAGGTAAGATTATTTTCCACTTTTTGTTTCACGGCTATGACTACAAGTGTAATCGTCTTAGAAGAGCAGATTGCCGCTCTATCTCTGGCAGTCCACAAACGCGATTCGAAGTAAATAATAACGAAGGAAGATGAAGTGGATAACAGTCAGGTGAATGGTCATACGTCTTACAAAACCATGAACCCCCGGAGACCACAATATGCAAAGATGGAATTCCTAGTATTCGATGGCAACTCTGACCCTATCAGCTGGTTGAAAAGGTGCAAAAAATTCTTCTTGAATCAAGAAACTCCTAGTGCTGCCAAGGTCAATGTTGTTGCATTCCACTTGATAGACGATGCACAACTCTGGGATAAAGATGGTATCCGCTCCTAGGGATATGTCTACGAACTGAAAGAAAACTTCCCTCTTTGGGAGTTACTAGGTCTTCGAGTGAAGAAGAAAAGCAGAAGGGATTTGAGATTCAATCAGTAACTTTATTGGTTTAATAGATTTTGGTCATATTTTTGTCAAGTGAAAGTTTTGCTCATATTTTTGTCAAGTAAAAGTTGTCAAGTAATATTTGTGTCATTCTTTCGATTTTGATTCATATTTGAAGTTTTGAACAAATTCTTGATTTTATTAAGATCACGAAAGGGGTGGGTATTACATTACCCCAAAAGGAGACATGATTTTACTTAAAGTTTAGAAAAGTTTTTCAAGTTACAAATGTTGTTTTGAGCATGATGTTAGTGTTTTGAAAAGTATATCAAGTTGGGAAAACTATCAAATAAGCCCCCGTACTATACTGAAAAAGTCGATTAGGCCCTCGTACTTTAAAAACACTCAATTAAGTCCTCGAACTATTAAAAAACGTTCAATTAAGCCCTTTTGGTGGGTAAGTAACCGATTTCCCAGTTAAACGACGACGATGGCGACGATGTGCTCGAACCCCAGCAACGGCGGCTCCCAGGTAACAGGTTACATTTAACCGGGAAACCGGTTACTTACCGACCGAAAGAGCTTAATTGAACATTTTTTAATAGATCGAGGACTTAATTGAGTGTTTGTAAAGTACGAAGGCCTAATCAACTTTTTCAGTATAGTACAAAGGCTTATTTGATAGTTTTCCCTATCAAGTTTTAAGATCTTTGAGTACAAAAACTAGAGCGCTAATCCAGAAAAGTATATCAAGTTTTAAGAACTTTGAGTACAAAAACTAGAGAGCTAATCCAATTAAAAGTTTCATCACAAGTTTTGAGCTGTTCATGCATATAATACAGTAACACACTTGCATACTCCACAAAATATAGTCTTCTGGCTACATATAATTCGTTATTACTCCAAATGCACACTCGCAGCAGCAGCAGCAGATGTTCCCAACACCCTCATGGAGAGGTACTACCTGGAATTATTAATCACCACAAAGTCAGCACAGCCCGTACCGTAAAAACCAAAACATATAGTCGGAATTCAAGACGAAATAAAAAATTGCACAAAGAAACACTTATGCCCAATGGAATGTTACACCACATATTTACGAGAGCCTATCCGAGTGGAGTAGCTACCACCTATACAAAGAACAAATATATCCTACGCTAGAAGTGTATTACTTACAAAGTAGCAAGTTATCCTTAAGTTTTGAAATGAAACCAAAGAAACCATGCAAGAGCCTATCCCAGTGGTGCAGTCAAAAGAAACCAAAGAACAGACTTGTTAGCAATGAAATACCATGCAATTTGGGTCATAGAAACAAGTGTATACTTGCTTTCAGGCAAAAAGAGTATAAAAACGACGCAAAACATTCGCACTTGGCCAAAATTTTGTTTCTTGACGATGCAATAATAAAATGGCCCAAAAATAAAAAGGTCGCAAGTAGTAACATACATATTGCAGGCTCTCAGCCCATGACATTGCCATAATTTGAAATCATCAGGCACTCTCCAATAAACGACGGCCTCAACAGGCACTAAAGGATTGCCATCATTCTCCAGATCTTTGACCAAAAAATCAAGGTAATAGAAATGACCATTTTCCGCAAATTGACACCCCACCTTATCCACGCTGGCAAACTCGCAACACTTTTCAGGCTACAAATAATAGCATTTAAAATAGTTATATATTGGCTTTGTTTGCCGGGCATAAGTATCTGATTTCTAGCTTTTGTACTGTTCAAAAAGTCTCTAAAAGCTTCTATTTATATGTTTGACATGACAATTTTTAAGAGCTTTCCAAAAATTAAAAGATCTTTTTTGAGATGCCAGAAGCAGTAGCATCTGAAAAAACCCCGTGACTTTTAGTATTAATTAGGCCTAACAGCTTGTATACAAAACCGAACTAAATCAAATAGTCGACTTTTCTACCAAACAACTATCGTCTTTTCTTTTTAATATCTTTTCAGTCAACAAAAGCTAAACATTATTAAAAAGTTTGCAAAAGTATCTTTTCAGCTAGTTATGCCAAACATACCCTTAGCTTTGAGTCAGAAAAATGATGATGAAGTGCTTGCACGGTATTTATGGTGCTCATCAACAATCCAATTGCACATAGAGAGGATGATATCATATTCTTTAGCACCCTTAGCTTTGAGTCCTTCAAGTTTAACAGGCTGTACACCGCCTATAGGTGTGCTAAAAAGCCTACTTCGACCTCCTCGTCTCTAAAACAGGGGAGGAAAAGAAGATTTCAATGTATAACCATGAAAATCACGACAATAGTTGGGTTTTAGCCCCTACGAGATATGGTGAAGGAAGTGCAAACATGATGAAAATTTATATGATGTTGAATCGAATCCAAAAAATTAAAATATGACCATACTTTTTTAGACCACCTCTTCAGCATTTTCTCCAGAGCCTCTTGTGTCAAATCATCAGTTAGCTTCCGACCCTCTAACACACGTTTATAGCGTACATACTTTGCGGGAAGCACAAGAGTCCTCCAAGTCGACTAACAAAACAATGACGACGACAAAAAACAATTACAAATTAGTTAACCCTAAAATAAATCATACATAAATTTGAAATCGAATCCAATTGGAATAACCGATATTCGAATGCCAAAAAGAAGATCTGGTGAGAGAATCGTTACGATCATATTAAATCACAGCTTATAATCGTACCTCGTCGCTGTCGGAAACCAAATTCGTCCCTCGTTCGGTAGACTCGGAAGTCCCCATTCCGGATTCCAGTTTGTCGAACACTGCTCTGCCATGGGGGGAGACCTTGAACACGATATCGGCCATTAGAGTTGCTCCGCTCGAAGACGTCTTTCCCTGTTCGCGTAACTGGTTTGAGCGTGACTATTAGATTATTCGAAGGGATAGTTAGTTAAATAAGGTAAGAGGATTAAATGGGGTTTAATACTTACACGTTTCATTCGGTAACATTAGCGAAAAAACGGTCAAAATTCGTTGAAAAAAAAGTTAACTTTTAAAAAACGTGTAAATACGTATACGTGCATAATACGGTATATGTTACAAAAATTCGGACAAAAAATACAGGATATTATTTTGAATATTTAAATTACATACTTTACAAGATAACATATATAGTAAAAAGAAATAAAAGTATACACATATTAAAGTAGAAAATTCAATTACTACATAAAAGAATAATTCGTAATTGCATAAGTCCATGACAAAAATAAAAATTGTAATTAAGTTCAAGACATGATTTTGCAAACTAATGTCAACAAATAAGATAAAAAAAATAGAATGGGACTAAGTTAAAATCATTATCTTTATATATTTATCGAATAACACTCAATTTAAATTCATCATTTTTATCAAGATAACGGATGACATGAGAAAAGTTGTGCGACTTCTACACGCGCTTATTATTGTTTGTGTGTAAAAGTTTATAATAAAAAATGTCAGATTTAGAAAAACTTTAATTTTGACATGTTTGTTTGGAAAAACATCAGAAATCTAGTAGTATTTTAAGTTTTAGTCTTTTAGAATGCTAACTTTAGCCACCATGCAATTAATTTTAATACGATAGTATTTAACAATTGTATTCTAACAATACAAAAACATGGGGTCACATAGAGATACTTTTCTTTTTTTGCTTGTAAACTATTGTTGATCTCCTATTCATTTAATGCGTTCATTTAATTGATCAATTCATTTTTTTATTTTTTGTAAAATACGGGATGCTAGCTTTAGCCGCCATGCAATTAATTTTAGTATTTAATAATTGTTTTGTAACAATACAAAAACACGAGCTCATGGAGAGGAGCTTTTTTTTGCTTTTAAATTATTCTTGATCTCCTATACATTTAATGCGTTCATTCAATTAATCACTTCATGTTTCTATTTTTTATAAAATACGGGAAAAATACGTTTTATACGGGAAGTAAGAGTTTTTTTTCCTTTTTAAACGGACCGACATTATTTTTCGTTTTAAACGCGTTTTTTTGTTCAGGGATGAATCGAAGGTCCTTCTCTACGCACCGCCTTTGCCGGGGATGAATTTAAAGGGTGCCCTCTTGGACTTTCAACATTTTCAATTATATATGTAATATTTTCATAAAAATTTCCATACTTTAGTTAGATATATATGTGTTCGCCCCCCTTAATTTCTTTGTTTTAGAATTAATATATAATCTTACATAATGTAATTCTGAATTTTAGATTTAAAAGAAGAAACATCTAAAATAATGTACATAACGCAAACAAATAAACAATAGAAACGACTCATTATTTATAACTTAGGATACTTATTATATATAAAAATTCCTAGTTTTGTAATGTTTAATTGTCTTTGTTAGATTCTTCCAAAAAAATTTATCTTTATTAGATAATTAGTACTCGGTTTTGAAAAATATAATATGAAATTAAAGACCAGACACATTTGTTAAACAATTTTAAGTCATGTGAAGTTAATCCAAAATATAAATGTTTGTTGACATTAAATAACACAATTCATTTACTTCTTACACTTCATAAAAAAATTATTGCATAGATAATACTTTAACTTATTTTAACATTAATACAAATATAATATGCACCATATATATAAATTAGTATCATAATATTATTATAAAAATAGTAATCTCATACATATACGATTGCAATTAAAAAATCAAATATTTATTGCAATAATATTCACGTGGTTAAACTAACAAGACATAAGTTATTTGAAAAGTATTAATAGATCTCTTCCTTTTAAATTTTTGTATCCTTTTTATTTTCAAATAATTTTCCTTTAATTTATCATTTCTTACGCTTAAATGTATCAATACTTTCTCTATATTGTTTCAATTATAAAATCAAGTTATTTTTTTATTGTGTAAACCTAAAATGTAATAGATTTAGTTATTGTCATGTATGTCTATCAAAAGAACTTTTTTGAATAAAATATGGCCGCAGAGCCCTATACTAGCGAAAACGTATGTTGAAAGAGAAGAGCCGCCACTTGAAGTGGCGGATTTTGTACTGTAAGAGAAGAGCCGCCACTTCAAGTGGCGGCTTTTCTTAACCACGGTTAACCCAACAGTATTTTGGGAATTATTTTTAACCCAACGGTATTTTGAGAATTATTTATTTATTTAGCATTATTCCGGGAAAAAACTCTTACTTTTTGCAAACGAAATGCCAAAGGTAATATGTACACACTCAAATCAGTGTCACATTTAATTTGTAAATAATAAATTTGTGTTTATTCCACTAAACATCAATTTCTATAAGAAAGAGTAACATGAATTACCCAAGGATAGTAGGAGGGTAATCTCTTTCGGTATTTTAAATTAATTAGCCTCAGACGAATGGGTGTTGCTTCGCGCACCCTCACAATTGTTTAACGTAGTCATGAGTGGATAAATTTGGCCTTCTTAATTATTTATTAAAATTAAGTATAATTAAAACGTTAATTGAATTTGCTTTGAGCTTTTTTACAAAAATATTACTAAAATAAAACATTTTTACATAAATATGACTATTCATTACTACAATGTGGTGTTGTGGTAACTTAAACTCAAAACTTGAACATGAATTACTATGATTTCATTACTACTCTAGTCACTAGTCATATTTTTGTAAATCATCTTTATTTTGATCATATTTATGTAATTATTTCTTTGCTTTCCGGCTCCATGACTCCATCTTGTCCATATCAAATTTACATTAAATATACATCCAATAAAATGCTGCCATGTGGCAAGAAATTCTTTTTTTATTTATAAAATGTCATAACTTTTTCATTTTTGCTCTGGCTTTTATAAAAATTATACCAAATTAAATATCTTTTTATGATTTTTCATATGACACCTATATTATATATGTAAATTAAAAAAAAAAACTGGTCAATTCAGAAGTTTCAATTCTGGCCTGATCTGATCTAGTTTCGTACATATGTTAGTAATATCTAAGTTCGATATAGTATAGGATAATATGAGACTAAAATGAGTAGTTCAACTGAAAATATCAGTTATACTATACAAGTTTAAACATGATCAAAAAAATTAATTATGCTTATTTATATTTAAAATTATGGATAAATAAAAAATATACTAAACTAACATTCTAAATTATTTGTAGGAGCCATTAATGTATAAAAAGAAAATTGTAATTTGAGGTGTATTTATTAGTTTGATAAAATTAATTATTGGGTGACATTAATTTATTATTATAATACAAATAAGAATGTTTTTAATTGAATTAAAATTTACTGGTCTAGTCCAATATTACAATCTGGTATAATCTTATTTGTTCTAGTAAGTTTTGTCTAATCTAGTCTGAACTCATCTGCCCTATTAGATGTATGTTTATGTGCGGGTGTTTTTTCTATCTTTGTTATACAACTGTCGAAATATGATTTGGTTTGATTTGGGATAAAAAAACATCTCGATCAAATAAAAAAATCTAGATATTGTCATATCGTAATTATATGATAATAGAATTAAAAAACAATACTATTATTCAGTATAAAGATAAATGAAAAAGTATACACTCTCGCTGTCCCATATTTTTTTTTTTGCAAAATCAATATTTTTTGGTCAATTAATAATAAAAGCCAATACTCCCTATCGATAATAAATACAATTTTTAATAATTAAAATTTACATATTCAAAAACTACATTAAAATTATTTAAAGTCGCAAACTTCAAATTAAAATATACTCCCTCCGATTCAAAAACAAGTTCCACATTTGACTTCACACATATTAAGAAAATAAATTTGACTTTACTATGGAGTGCACTGTTTGACACTGTTTGGCACTGTTTGACACTGTTTGAATTTTTTTTGATGTAGATAATTTGCCAAATAAGGAAATGTTTGAAAGTGGAACTTAATTTTGGAACTGCCCGAAAAGGAAAGATGTAACTTGTTTTTGAATCAGAGGGAGTAATTAAAAATTGACATCCTAATTAAGTGAATACAATGAAATTGTTTGACCAAGAAAAGTCAAATTTGCAAATCAATTTGGGACAGATGTAGTATATAGCCATCAAAATATTATTGATTACTGTATACGACAAACTTAATAAACCACCTCACAAAGAAGAACTAGGACACATATAGTAGGGCAAATGAGTACCTCATAAGTGTGAAAAGGGAAAACTATCAAATAAGTCCTCGAACTTTCAAAAAAGGTTAAATAAGTCCTTATACAGGAGGCTCTGTCCGGCCATCCCGATTTGGGGTGGTTCCCGGTGGAACTTTTTGATGAATTTTTTTGAGCATCTTATTCATCAAATCTAGTTTACTCATACAAAATGTCAGCTAAAACTTCAATCGGGAACACATTCAAATTAATTCTTAAAGACAATTGTGCAGTTAAATGAGCAATTATCTTCAAGATTTAATTTGAATGCGTTCTCGATTGAAGTTTTAATTGAAATTTGGTATGAGTAAACTAGACTTGATGAATAAGATGCTAAAAAAATTTCATAAAAAAATTCCACCGGGAACCACCCTAAATCACGACGTCCGGACAGAGTATCCTATATAAGGTCTTATTTGACCTTTTTATGAAAGTTCGAGAACCTATTTGACAGTTTTCCCATGTGGAAATTAAGAGTACTATTTTTTTGAATTATTTTCAGATTCATCCTCAATTTTATAAGAAGAAGGAAAATTCTACGGTGCACTCCTAAATTTTGAGTGCACCGGTACACACCTTTTCTTATCCAGCCACATTTTAGTATTGTGCTACTAAATATGATTAACGACTTGTAATGATGATTGAGTTATTAGCCTAAATATGATTGAATTGTTTCTTTAATAGGACTTTTATACCATATTTGTCCTTCCTAATATACATAAGGTTTAAATATTTTTTAGTCTCTGCAA